ACCATCCATTGCACCTTAAACGCAGCATGTTCTAACAATAGGTTCTTCCTCTGACGGTCAACATTTCAATGTCTTTCAGAAGTCGCATAAATTTTATAGTTGCGGGTGCCTGGCCAGCGTCTTTTGCATTGCCCTCCGGCACCGGCAACGTGCTCACAGGCGCATATGCCTGATCGAGGAGAGATATAGCTGCTGAAGAGCGCTTATTAACCATGCAGGGTATTATTAACTTTAATTAAGAGTTCCCTAACGTCGAGCGTACGGCAACCCTCTACCCTTCAGAAGACCAAGCAGCCCAGCGGATGCCATAGTTACACCTGTGAGGCTCCTCTAGCTGATGGGACTCGGAGATCCGTCGTCGGTAACCTCCAGCTTTTCCCTGAGAGCCAACGTCTGGTCTCATTTTTCGTCTCCCTTCAATGCGGCCCATGTTCTTTATTGTCCCTCTATTTCCTGCTTTTGTTATTGGGTCGGCCGTCGCGGCGGGCCGCACCTTTTAATTATGTACAAACGCGGGCGGCATCAGTCACGGAGTCCCCGAATTAGCCTGCTAACGAACAAGGGAGCTGTCGCTGTTTTGCAAGGCGCGTCTTTCAGTTGGTTCGAGCAAAGCCCTTCTCTTATTCTCTCTAGCCTGTCGAAAAGCAGAAGAAGAGGCGAGACAGAAGAACAGTCAGTACGCTTGGTTAGTACGCTAGCAGGTTAGTTTATTCCAAACTAGTCCTTGAATACGAGGGGGAGAGGCGACGCCTCGAGCCCCGGGCTAAATTAATCATTAGCCAGGGGAGTGGAAATAGGTCGGCCTCCTTGCACCAATATACTCGTATGTGGAAATTTATCAAGCATATTAACAAAGCCAGAACTAATGAACCATAAGTTAGGGCATGGCTAGACAACTAGACGAAAGAGATTTTACAGGGTGGTCCTGTTGGTCTTAGTAACGGAGGGGAACACTCGCACACCTTAGGGACTTCCCCGTCGTTACCCCCGCCGGCTGGCGCCCGGGGGGGGGGGGCTGGCACTGTGAGTCGGCTGCCGAGGTGTCACACTGACTGGGGAAAAAGCTTGCGATTTTAATGTGTACGCGGAGTTTAAATAGCGTTATTAACCTATACATTGAGGGCTTGGTGAGGGACACGCCTCGAGTCCACCTGAGTATTAGTCGTTAATGTCATTGTGCATACTTTCTACGGGAGAGCAACTTTACGAAGCACTCAAACAGGTCTCTCTTCCTGGGCGCCTAATTGATGCCTACCGGGAGGTGGCGAGGGTGTGTGCTTAATAAAACACAAAAATTACACTTATTTCAAGATTTTGCTTTAAAGTGAGCCAAACGGTCATTCAAAAAGTAACAGATCCAGGAATTCAAAAGTTGGTTGGTCGCACTTTTATATTAAATTAGACAAGCTAATCACTTAGGATCTCAGTTCCTTGGCTTGCTAGGACTGACCTATATGGTCCCCTAAGCAGAACATGAAAACAGAAACCACCTGCAATACGGGTGTCTTCGAGCCAACTTCCGGTAAAGTTAGGGCCAGGTTTAAGGTTAGGGTTAGGCTAGGGATTAGGTTTAGGGCTAGATTTAAAGTTGACGGTAAGGTGACCCAGAACCAGGTTTAGAGTTAAGGTAGGTGCTAGTGTTTACTACAGAGTTAAGGCTTAGATTAAGGTTACGGCCAAGATTAGGGCAATGATTTAGTCTTATATTACGGTTATTTTTGGGGTTAGGACACGGGAATATTTTGTCCCTTCCGGAACTATGCCAGGTCCACTTTTATTACTTTGGTGGGGCATTCTTACTCCATGCCATGTTCAAGTGGTCATATAAGCCAGTTATACACTTGGATTTTTTGCATTCCTTCAGACTCCCTAGCTGAAAACAATGCAACTGAACATCCTAACTTCAGATTAGAAGTCACCCATTTCCAAAAGCAGACTTTGTTGTTCTTCTTTGCACAGAGCCCTTTGAAAAAGTTGGACAAGGTTCCATTGTGTTTTATACGGCACTGAAAGTGCTTCAAGAACGGGACGGATGACCTGAGAAATCCGTGTTTCGCTCTGAAAATCCGTCCTCATAGTTAAATACTATTCGTTAGTTAAAGGCCAATAAACGGAAGTTTGCTTGGCTTCCCCAAAAAAGGCAATGATAGCAAAGTTCATATCCATTTGTCAAAGGCTTTAGGCAGCTGTTTAAAGGTTGGCGATTCTAAACTCCGTCGTAATCTCAGATTCCGACAAGATTTTTTACGAGGTAAACTTGGTATGCGCGCGCGCACAGTACAAGTTGCCATGTTTTTATTTCGCTCCATTCCTCAAGATCTAAGTGTCCATCGCTACTTTCGATTCGCTCTTCTTCATGATCGCTTAGCCGTCCATTCCTCCCTTCTTCTCCCCCTCCAAACTTGCCCGTGTGGGCGTTGACGCTTTGAGGTGGGCCGTTGTGCCTACGTGTGTTGATGAACGTGCACGCGTGCACGGATGCGTGTAGGTTTTCGGCTTGCCAGGCAGGCTGAGTTACCTCTCCGTCACCCCCCTAATCTCTGTTGCTTCCCTATGGGACAGGATTTTTCTCTGTCTTAAGTGGCGTGGATGGTGGTGGTGTCCCATGAAACTTTAGCGTCTGCTCGCACCGTTTCTGTCCGGCCGTCGCAGGCCTTACGACGCACGGGAACCCATCCGCTGTGCGGGGGTCATGGTACCCACGGCAGATGAAGATTTATCAAATTTCCATACACGGCTTACATCCCGAATTGGGGACAAACGCACGTCAGCAGGAGCTCGGCCATTCCTCTAACGTGGGATTTGGACATCATCTACTGCCGCGCCAAATCTGATACGGGGGGGGGAGGGGAGTGAGGGTGGGGAGTGGACGGTTTGATTGAGCGAACGTCGTGGTGGTTACTCGCTTAGAGTCATCGCCTGAGACGATTAGTACTGCGAGGCCTTACCGATCCTCCTCACTCCTGGGCGACTAGTGGAGGTGTTGATGGCTGAGTCGCCCTCTCCTGATGTGGTTGACGAATGCGCCTGTCTCCTCTCAGGCACAATCTTCCTCAAAGTCTAATATTGGTTGTCCTGGCTCATAGAAGCCGGAAAAGCAATTGGGGCTGTTGGTGTGCCAAGCCCGCCGGCATCTTGCCTACATAACCCTGAATAACTCCGACGTACGTATGTTTTGCTCACCGCTCTTGTGCATAAAAAATTGCAGCCGTGATAACATTTACCTTTCGCACTGTCATAGCAGGCAGGTCTAAATTGAGAACCTGGAGTCGCGGTGGGTTTTGTGGGTTTTCTTGTTCTCCTGTCATTCGTTCAAAGCCCTAGTTCGCAAGACTCGCAGGGTAAGTTTTAAGGAAGCAGAACTGGCCATCAACAGACGGTCTGTATTTCCTGGGTGCGCTCCACTGTGATTGATTGTGGTGCATGCCATGGAAGACCTAGAAGGAACTTGTAGATTTATCTCACTAGAAAATTACACCAATTTTCCTGAGTAAATCCAAATAATTAAACAAAATGTTGCATAAATGATGTCTCCCTTGTCTGATGACTCCTCCATCAAGATCAGAGGAAGTTTGTACTTTGAAGTAAACGCGGCGACTAAATCCCGCATGATGTGGAAAGTCCAATGCGTAGTGATGGTCATGTACTTTGCCAAAACAGATCAACTCGGGGGTTCTGGGGTCCGATACTCTGGAAAAAAGTTCGCAGGCAATTATTTCAGACGTAAGTATTCATGAGAGGAATATTAAAAATGGTCTCTTGGTTAATCCTCTCCAAATCGACTGAAAATGACTGGCAGTACAGTCAAGTCCTTGTGTAATCCTTGTTGAGGGGGAGAGTTCCAACGGAAAATCGGCGTGCGAAGTATATTTGCATGTGTTTCGGCAGATATGAACAGTTTTTCTGAACATTTGATTGTGAAGAAGTCGGTAACCTCTGTATGATTTGAACCCGGGACAGCAAGGGCGCGACTTGAGTATAGCCACCCTATCCAAGTTACTCACAAGTTCCTACCCTGTAGGCTGTCTACCCAAGCAGGTATTCCGCAACAATTAACATAGAATTCGCGAGGCACTTACCAATAAAATTGAATTGTTGTGTGTTCATGGGATAGAAGTAATTTTACTATACCCAATTATGCAAAACTCAGTGGTCTGGCTCTCGTAACTCACGTAGTTAGCGTGTTGGCGGCATAGAAACCGCGCACCTGCCCTCGCGAGTTCAAACCATATCGAGGCTGCCGAGGTTTTACAATTGGGTAGCCTGTGAATGTGAATTAATTTCATGTTATCTGCTGATCAGGATTAATAGCCTATTTGAAGAATACTAAAGGAGGTCTGCCACTGTTGACTGAGTTTGTGCACCTTTTAAATAGTGGGGGCACGCTAAATTTAAATTAGCTGTTAATATAAAGGAGCACATAACGTGAATTGTCTTTACAGGTACAGGAAATCCCTATAGTCCAAGGGGCCTTCATTCGTTAGCTTTATGGCAGGTGCAGGTGTTGCGTGTCTCGGACGTAATATCTTTCGGGCGCTTCGTGATCAAATGTGCATTTGCCAGAGGTTTCGGACTTACACCTCATCGTTTTGTCCTTCGGAGTTAACTAATAACTGCTCCTAAACGCTATTTTAAGCTTAATAATTAGCGACTCCGCATATATTTCTGGGTACTAGTGGGTTTTAAATTGGCCCCGATTCTCCTATAATGATTACTATGTCCAATCTCTGTCTTGATTCTCATGAAATCGCCTTCTGCTTTTCCTCTTTATTACTAGCTCTCTCTTTATCAGACACAGCCAAGCCAAGTGTATCCGAGGAAGCCTCACGGTCTTACTCAATAGTTCTGCAGCCCCTACACATAGCCATTGGCGTCTGTTTAGTGATCCTCATGATTGTCGCAATTCTGCTTCACGTGCTCATCGTACTGCAACGTCGACATCGTCGCCTCAAGCGCGAACTGCAGCAGACCCAGAAATCAGGTCTGGGGCGGGACACAGCAAATCAGCAATCACCTCTCTGGCTGCACCAGCAGGCGCCCGGAGTTCAGCAGCACACCTCCCTCGCCATTCTCAATGGGGCTCGCATTCTGGCCCACTTCGACGTGCATGGAGTGCCTGGTGAGAGCGGTGGCGGTCAGCCAACACAACTGGGTTTGCAGCAGGTGCAATATACTGAAACCAGTGGCGGCCCCTACCCTCCCACGTCACAGTCAGTGTTTCAGAAGCAGGAACCCATGAAAGGCAGCGGGTAAGTAGCTGTCTCCATCCCCTAACGAGCGTGTGCCGCTCAAGCAAGCAGAAGTTTGCTTGACCAATTGATGACGATCTGATCTGATGAGTGCGCGCACTGCACCTAGGACTATGTCGTTTCCATAGTGGCTACACTGTCATAGCAAGTTTCATGCTCACTTTGGTTGAACAGCTATCCCAGGTTGGGTACCACGTCAAACAATGAGGCACTCGTCGTTATGCCTTCTGAAAGCAGTCGAGACCATTGAGTCTCACAGTCTCCTTAAGGGAATATTACAATTATGAAAAGGAAAAGTGGACTAAAGAGTCCTCAGACTGCCAATAGGTGGCCTACGAACGGTAGAATTACCTTGTTTTTATTCGTTCAAGTTTGGCAAGCATCCTCACATTAGATTGACAGCTCGCACTTTAACTACAAATGCGGCAAGCAGAAGACCGCTTCTGAGGTCCTAAACTACCCTTAGAAACTAAACGGAAAGCCGCCAATGTAGTCTGCTCTTCTCACTTTTGTTATGCTAGAGGAACTAGTGCCAATATTTCTGCTTTTCAGCTGTACAGCATTCTGCCTCTGGTGTCGTCGAAAGTCATACAATCCGAAAACCTACGATGCAGCGTTCTACGATGAGATTATTCAACGGAACAGTGCCGTAGTTCCCCCAGAACACACCACGTCTATCCTACAGAATTGCTCCCCACTCCCAGAAACTTCAAAGTCTTCACTTGAGAGCAATGCCTACACACCTTTCCTCGGCTCAAAAAACTCAACCGGCTTTTACAGCTCGGGTAAGAATGTCGATGATTCAGCGATCCTTACCACCAGTTCTCCGGGGCCCTGCACGTCAGCCGACCCTGACAACCGCACCAAACTTATCAGTCAGACTGCGCCAACATATGCTCCGGGTTCAAGTATGAGCGGAGGCAGCGCAAACAACCAGTCCACAGCGGAGAGTTCCCTGCCCACACAGTCTTCAAGCGGCTGGACGGAACCGCGCGGAGTCTTCTTGCCCTGTGGCAACAACAGCGCAGCCTCTGCAGCTATCAAAAACCCGACACTCGGCACCGAACGTCCGAGCATTTCAGGCAGTAGTGAGACGGGGGGCTTCCTCATAGGCTCTGACTTTGACATGCGACGTGCAAACGTTGCACTTCCACCCGCGATGCCGCCACCACCACCACTGCCACCACTGGTTTCAGGACCGATTCCCGCTCAGGTCGTGGGCTCAATACCACCGGACTCCTCACCCAAACCCTTGGGCTTGGCCTCATTCCGCTGTGCTAACCCTCAGGACTCCTGCGCCCTGGTGGCGCCATACGCCCAGCTACAGCTCTCACTCTCCCTGGATCAATATGACACCCCAGAGGAGATCTTTCGAGCTGAGGGAAGCGACTCCAGTTGCTCCTATGCTCAACACGCGAGCTCAAACCCTACCACCAATTCCTCCCTACTGCAGTCCTACTGCGAACACGGAGGTGGTGACTACAAGAGTTGAAGGCACCGACCATACCCCCCTCCCCAGAAAGACACTGCGGTCCGCCTGTCCTAAAGAGTACTTTGTAAGTGCCACGACAAGCGCGGGTTTTGTGGACATGTACGTACCTAGGCAGAGGATCCTGTCGCACAGGCAAGCTTCGATGCCGGCTGTCCGACTTATCTACGAATGTACGGCTGCATTAATGCTGATTCATTTGAATCTATGTGAAAAATTTTTGTATTGTTACCAGACCTTCACCCCCCTTATTCCCCTCCACACACTCTGGTTCAGGCGGTGTAATTAACCGTACTCACATAAATATTTAAACATGCAAAACTATTTATAGCCATCTTTTATTTATAGCAGGGTAATCGATTAAAGTTATAGTCCTCGAGTTTCAGAAGCGCACACCTTACAGTTGTTGTTCGATAGGCCCAACTGAGTAAAGTTTTTTCTACTTTAATGGTGTCCGGCATGGTGCTACGATAATAATGAGACAGAGGGAAATAGTCCTCTTTGTAGGAGCGTTATTTGGTAATCCATCGCCTACAACGGCTTGGTAGGTTCCGTTGCTGCTAATTAACCGTCTGACCAGGCTCTTTAGGCAAAGAAAATCTCTGTTTTCCGCGCCGGCACATTTATATGCGCCGGTTCGTTATATACGCCGTTGATGATTCATTCGGTAGGATTTCTTTCGGCCCACACATATTATTCCATCTGCCTGGCGACTTTAACATTAAATTAGGGGAATGGGAGTGGGGCTGGTCGTCTTTGCTCTTTAACTTATCCTTGGTTCAACCGACTGTTTGCTAATCGTGACATTCCTACGAGTCGTGGGAAGTCAACACGTCTGACAACTGCGTGGCGGATTTTCCACGTAGTCCTGATCCTCGCCGAGCATCTCCACGAAAATGGGTGTGCGTACCAAGTCTAAGCAATTATCAGCAGTCCAGAAAAGTAGCTGCCAATACCTGGAGACGGCAAACTGTTTTGGGAGGTAAGGTAACTGATCTACCTAAGTGTGTGGTGTCTTAGCCTCTAACAGACTACCGGAATGAGTTACAGGTATGGAGAAGTGATTCATAATGACCTAGACATGGAAGCCCGTGGGCATTCATTTTTCAAGTCATCCTAATCACCACCGTGACCACTTCAAACAACACATCGCTGGCTTAGTAGTACATCCATACTCTATTCATTGATTCTAAACGCTGAAGTAGAGGTGCTGAACTTTCTTATAGATGTTCGGCAGGACGCAGTTTAGCGTAAGCTTCTGATGCTGACCCCGCCCGCTCTCTGGTATGAAGGCTAGACGTTAGAGACTTCGGTTATCTTAAAAACTACAATTTTATTTATACAGGGTATCAGTTAGACTGTACACATTATTTTTCTTAACACATCGTTAATTGTGACACTGGGCATAGTAGGCGAGACTACAGAGCATATGTGTTCCTGAATATGATTGATAAATCTCAGGATATTGGATCTCAGTCTATTCAGGCAAATATGGAATGTGGTTTCCAGTAAAGTTGATAAAAGGGATTTATCTCGAACTCCGGACTGAAAACTTCCAAGGTTGGCTGAGTAGCTAAAAATGAGTATACGGAATCCATTTTAAGTAGCAGTTGTTTTGGATATTGAAGGCCACAGGAAATAGGACACCATGTTGCCAAGCGCGTTCTAGTAATGAAAGACTCTAGCAACAGACCTATCGATAAACTAACTGATTCGCTGACCGATCGAGACTAATAGGTTTACGAACTAAAGAACATTTCATTTGTGAAATGGTTGTTTTATTGGCATTTTAAAATTGGAACTAATTTGCTACAGGTACCGCTGGCTTATGAAAACGTGCATACTAATTAATTAAGTAATTTTACGGTTGTTGGCATTATTAATCGGAAAATCTTCAGCGGTACTGCGTGTGATTAATAATGTAAATGAATAAGTGGTATATTGCGGTACATTTAAGTGGTATATTGTGCGCTATTTTCCGTTTATCCGCACTGAGGTCAGTTTTTATAATAGGATACCTATTTGACTATAAACGGAAATTTATCCAGATTAAATCTTTAACAGTACTAAAACAAAATTTGTCTGCCTATGCACTTCCGAGTGTAGATAAGGCCATTCTGACTAAAGGTACTAGCTTTCGAGAGATTACTGTTTCCCACTTCATCATTATGCGAAGCAGCCCTTACTGCTGTCCGAGGTCATCCGATCTAAGTCCAGAAGTCTCATACCCCTGGCTTTACTTTATCAGTGCAGATTTTTGTGTTAAATCAAAAATTGCCGGTCTCTTGGATACATATTTTGTTTGGATGTGATTATGTAACCCCACCTGAAGTAAACAAACCCCAGTCACCTGTAGTATGGGACCGGTGGCAATAGAGGTTTTTCCAGGTGGGGCCGGGGAACCCACAGGCGACGGGGTCAAGTATTTGCATGCAGAAGGAAAGCTATTGCGAATGCGCGGTTGTAATTTGAATGGTTAAGAAATAGTTGCAATAACTCCTAACGCTAACACTAACCCCCAACTATAACCCCTAATCCTAAACCCTATCCCTCTAACCCTAACCGTAACCCCTAACCGTAACCCCTAACCCTAACTCCTAATTCTAACCCTTAACCTCAACCTCAACTATACTGTTTACATCAGGTGGGGCTGCCAAACCACGTCTTACCCATATTTTTACTACGTTGTGCTGCTTGGTAGCAGTATATATGTCCATATTAATTCGTAATGACCTTTATTACCATACGGAGCTCGCAATGATGATTTGCCTACCCTATTAACGTCTATCTTCTTCCAATGGTAAGATATGGTCCAAGAGGAGGAAGATAGGTCCAATCGCAGTGGTTAATATGTCGTGAGAGACTCCACCTGCGAAAATCCGTTTTTTAAAAAGGATCTCTGACTTCACATAATTGAGAGCGGCAGAAAAGTCGCACTGCAAAAAATCCATGGCAGACTGTCCCTCAGTCCTGCGTTGGACTGAGTTATAGCGTTAACCTGCGACCCTCCAAGCCGCGACACCACCGCGTGATAATGAGTTTAAGCGATTTGTATTGACTCTAGCGAGGACTTTACTGACTAGAAGTGGATTTATCCCGCTCCCCTCTCTTTGCCCTACGGACTGGTGGTGGAATTTAACCCAATGACTAAAGTGGCTTGGATGTACCAGTCTACCCGTGACGCATACGTACTGGTTCTTCGATCAATAGTGACCTTGCTACCCCAAGGCACGCACCACCCAAAACAGACGTGCAAACATTCGCTTGTCACGTCCCAGGTCATAATAATATTGTCCCCCTTGTGGGCGAAATCCTGGCATGCGCAAATGAGAGCCTGATCGTGTGTGTGGCACGCGCCGGATTGGACAATTAACTGTTTCAGAGGATAGGGTGCAAATAGTAAGGCCATGTCTCTGGGCATAATTCCTAGTCCGACGCGCTTGAATCAATCGCAGTGTACTCAGAGCCATGGATTGATGGGTTGCCTCCTGACGGGCTAACTTGGACCTCGCGGTCAGCTCAGTGTGTATGTGTGTGTTGTGGGGAGTGACGGACTGGTATTCTGAGAGTTAGGCTGCAATGGCTCTTTAATGTGACCTTTGTGACAGTCCCACTGAATCGCCTCCTCTTCTCTTGTTCTGTAAAATCCTGGTTAGTGCACATAGTTGGCCAGGGGGTGTGGTGATACACCCTGACAGACCCTGTTGTCGACAGTCGCCGCACAAACTGGGACCCTACCACCACCCCCCCCCATTGCTTTGTCGGTAACAATCCTGATCATTTGCTGTGTGGACCAGGAAGTGCGGAGTGGAGCGCCAAGGTCCGGATCTGTCCAAGCCATCCACCTGCGGCCTCCCCCATCCCCGGTCTTCTTGACTCAGTCTTGACACTAGACTCAGGTGGGGGAGGAGAGAGTGTGGTAGATGCAGCGCAAGTCTACTGGCACTATAAACCCCGCGCAAGTCGCCGTCCCTGCTCACACCCTGCTGTAGGGCATACGGTTGCATCGTCGAAACCGACGGTCGAACTCTCGTTTGTTTGTATGTGTGTGCGGAGAATTTAGTGGCGGTGGAGAGCAGGCGGCCGATAAAGTGTTATGTGACCCATACGAGGGATTAAAATTAAGCATGTTGACACTGCAGTTATGCTGTTGACTGTTATCTTCTGTGGCCTTGCGGATTTCCTACTGCGGTGAGGACAAAAACGTCCGTTCAGAAAGGACCTATATTGGGACGCGTTGCTGCAATGGGAAGAGTTTAGAGGATTTCTTTACTTGCTTTTGGCGCTTCGTAGTAAGGACGATGGGGGAATACTATTGACCTCGAGCGAATTCTTTACCCAACAAAATCGGCCCTGCTCTTGAATGCTATCTGGCAGTATAAACATTTTGTTTAAGGCCAAGCCTTAATTAAATTGGTCCACACTACTGCCGTCTTGCGTACCTCGCCTCGTTTTGACTTGCCGTATCGGGTTAGCCTCGATGTCTGCTTCTCCACCTATTACCTCAGTATGTCAAGTTTGTTGATACTAGGCAAGCGTTCCTCGAGTCCGATTTTGTAATTTAAGTGGTTTGGCATTCTTTCGAGTCGCCCTTTCCGTCCATCTGTTTGACAGCATCCGTAGGCGACGTCATTTTAGAACTGTCACTTATACAGGCATTCGAAAGCCAACATCAGGTAGTCACAGCTCTATTTTAGTCAAAGTTTAATGCGGCATAACGTCTTCGATAAAGTCGCCATTTATTCCACGTCCGTATTTTCCGGACACCTTTCTCACCACTGTATTCTAATGCCCCCCTAAAACTTGATCTACAGAGATCATGCACTGTCCTTTCGTAGTCAGCGTTCTTCGAAGGAAGCGTATTTAAACTGGTTCGGTTTTCTAAATTTCGTACACCGTGCACGTCCCCTCCCCATAGACGGGCGTCGTCAGGAAGAGGGCGCTGTATATCTTGAGACTGAGCACTGTATCCCACCGAAGGCTTGAATGGAGCTGGAGATCTGGGTTGCAATTATACCCTCGAACTTTATATCCATTGGTAGGGTGGTCCGCAGGTATGAGAATTGATTTATCACTATCGGGTGAGTGTCGCTGACGTTTACCATGGCTTTGTTATATTTATAAGTTGCTGCTGACAAATTCATGGCCATTGTCTTCTCTGTAATTACGACGACCCCGACGTTGGTGTACCCGAAGACGGAGAGGCACAGAGTCTATAGGGTCAATGAGTTCCGGTCGTCCCCACAAAGAAATTTGGCAGCCGAGGCCACGGCTGCTTGTATATATCCACGGTGTATGCTCAATAATGTAAGTCAACGCACAATAAATTACCTCTGTTCGTGGAACACGAAGATGCGGCGGAACATCAAGGTTCCCTGTCTGCTGAGTCATTTTGGAACTGCATATATATATATACCAACATGAGTAAAGATTCGAGGTCCTGATAAATTATCCCGTTCATCATCCCCAAAAGAGGACGAAGAAGAAAAAGGGGCGATTGCATGGACCACAGTGTATTGGTGCTGACGTTTCGGAAACTTCCTCGTTTACATCATCAGAGTGGTGGGGTGTCTGTTCCTGTTTGCTCGAAGTTGTTCTGCCTCGCCGCCTGTCTTGTGTTATAGGCATGCCTGACGCACGAACTCTGACCTGCCTTCTGGCTGGGGATTGGCTTTGGTTCCTCCGCGGGCGGCCAATGGCGCGCTCCTGTGACCTCTGCCCCTGACCGGCTGTCGACATCCAATTTACAATGGAAGAGGGGAACAACAACCAATTGCCCTTCCTCGACGTGAATGTTGCAAGGACGGTTAGTGGGAGGATAAGAACTACGGTGTACCGTAAGGCGACGAATACCAGACGCATCCTCCAATTCCGAAGTAACCACCCTATTGGTCACAAGCGAAGTTGTGTGAGAACTCTGTTCCAACGAGTTCAAACACACTGTAGCGACGGCGAGGGGAAAAAGGAGGAGACAAAATACCTACATTCCTTATTCATAGCCAATGGTTACCCACGATCCTTCATACGTGAGTGCCGACGAAAGGCTACCCGTCAGCGATCAGACGGTGAAAAGCCGAAGTTTTGACTTGCGATCCCCTACGTGAAGAATGTTTCCGAGGCAACAGCTAGAATCCTAAACCCTTTTGGGATTGGAGTGGCCCATAAACCGGAATCCACCATCAGACAGCAGATAATGAGACCCAAAGACCCGATACCGGCAACGGAACAATCAGCAGTGGTCTACAGCATACCGTGCCAAAATTGCAATGCACGGTATGTTGGTGAAACGGGGAAACGCCTCTGCACAAGACTGCATGAGCACCAGCTTGCAGTCAACCGCGAGGATAGACTGTCACTGGTATATGGCCAAATGCAACAGGAGAAACATAGTTTCGCCTTTGGTGAAGCAAGTGTCCTCGGTCGAGCCCATGACAAGATGGCTAGGCTGGTGCTCGAAAACTGGTCCTCAGTTGGCACAATCAACAGGGCTATTGATCTTCATCCGGCCTACCAGGCGCTGCGTACAAGGCTCCAGTCAGTCCAGACGGGGCCAACAGTATTGGCGGGCGAGTCGCGGCTCCGCCAACAGTTGTTACCTTCACAGCAGGGGGAAGGAGCCAGCCGGAGGTCACACGACCGACGCGAGACATCGCCCCACCGGCGCGCCCAGACAGCCGAGCGTGATTCGCGCATGCAACGGCAGCTGATCAGTCCATCCGATTATGAGGTGAGGGCCCATGGGCACACAGGATTTGCAGCAATTACGACAGCCGGTCAGGGGGCAGAGGTCACAGGAGCGCGCCATTGGCCGCCCGCGGAGGAACCAACGCCAATCCCCAGCCAGAAGGCAGGTCAGAGTTCGTGCGTCAGGCATGCCTATAACACAAGACAGGCGGCGAGGCAGAAAAACTTCGAGCAAACAGGAACAGACACCCCACCACTCTGATGATGTAAACGAGGAAGTTTCCGAAACGTCAGCACCAATATATATATCGATATGCGTAAAGATTCGAGGTCCAGACATTGTATCGCGTTCATCATCTCCCGAAGAAGACGAAGAAGAAGGGAGGGCGAATTCATGGACCATATTGTATTCGAACTGACGTTTCGGAAACTTCCTCGTTTCCATCATCAGAGTAGCGTAGTTGTTGCACTTGCCGATCTTGAATTGTTCAGTCTTGCCGCTTGCCTCGTATTATAGCCGTGCTGGACGCACGAACTTTGACCTGCCTGTTTGCCGCTGACTGGCTTAGACCTCCCCGGGGCTGACCGCTGACAGGCCTGCTTGACCTTTGTTCCCTTTGGGGTCGGCGTAATTGTAGTCAGATCAACGTGCCGGTTGGCCTCTCCCACGCCAGCCGTTGGACTGATCGGTCGTTGCTGTTCAGTGGAGCAGCATTCAGCTTCGCGGGCGCATCGGTGAGGCAGTGTTCGGCTTTGGTCACATGACCTCTGGCCCCCAATTCCGCTCTTTTCCATGAGCGTTGACTCTCGGTCCCGCGTGCTCGCTTGCCTTACTGGTCCTGTCCGGACTGATCCGAGCCTTGTACGCAGCGCCTGATAGGCGGGATGTAGATCTATAGCTCGGTTGAGTGCACCAGCCGAGGACCAACTTTCGAGCACCAGTCTGGCCATCTTCTCATTGGCTCTGCCAATTACCCTCGCCTTCTCAAAGGCAAAATCATGGTTCAGTCCTCTTATGTGGCCATAGACCAAAGACAGCTTGTCCTTGCGGTTGATTGCAAGTTGGTGTTCGTGCAATCTTGTACCGAGGCGTTTGCCCGTTTCACCAACATACCTCGCATTGCAATTTAGGCATGGTATGCTGTAGACCACCTCCGACTGTTCTGTTGTTGGTAGCGGATCTTTGGGCTTCATGATTTGCTGTCTGATGGTGCATTCTGGTTTATGAGCCACGCCAATCCCAAAAGGTTTCAGGATTCTTGCCGTTGCCTCTGATACGTCCTTCACATAGGGTATTGAGAGCCAGAACTTGGGCCTTTCTCCAATCGACCGCTCAAAATGAGGCTTTTTGAGGCAATTGCGTATGAAGGACTTCGGGTAGCCGTTGGCTTTAAAAAGGGCCTGTAAGTAATTCATCTCCTCCTTCCTCCCACTGTCGTCGCTACAGTGTGTTTGAACGCGTTGAANGGCGTTCTTAGGGAAAAGGTACTTTATTGCGTGAATTTTCTACGCCGGTTCCCCAGGCCGTCGTCAGAAGCAGACTGAGATTAAATGTGTCGGCAACAGTTAATATCTGACAGTGTACATAAAAAATCGATAATCTTTCGCGTTAGCGCCCGTGGGCGGCCGCTATTTGCGTCATTTCGTCCGAATTGGCTCTCGTCTCTTCCATTTCTCCTGGAGACTTTTGTACGCGGCGTCCAACTCGATATGACGGTTGATGCAAGCAATAAAGTACATTTTCCCAAAGAACGCCCCTTCCTTCAACTTATATTTCATGCGATGCCTACCTTCCAATACATAATATATACATATATATTCAATCAGGAATGGGCGCACACCGGTCTGTTGTCTTCACGAAGCAAACAAGCGCCGTATGAGTTACATTCTCTATCTTTCCTTCTCGCTGCTATTATGACTTGGTGGACTTCATCCTGGTAGTTGGTTGCCTGTTCGTGACCGTTGCCAACCATACGGAGCTTTTTTGCTTCGGGAAGCCAATAGATCAGTGTGTGCCCAATCCTTATCGAATAAATACCTGATCTACAGCGACGGAGAATGACAGGTTTCGAGGCACCGATGAACTTCGGTCCAATGAAGTGCTTAAAACCCATCTGGTTGACCCCAGTAATGGACCAACTGCGTCAGGTGTGCCTGTGCGCATGTTTGTGTTTCTGGTACCAACTGCTGGTCAGGGTTATGATTGGCTGAATGAAAGCAAAATAAGCCCAAAACAGTACTGTATCAATCTACCCGCATTCTCTGTCCTCCGTCTTCGATGCTATTTATATGTATATATGTGTATATAATAGTTGAGAATGGCTCATTGATCATTTTTACGGAATTCACTCGTTCCGTTGTGCCTTAGTGCTCTCTCTCCAGCCAAACCAGCAGCCGCACAATGGCGCATGATATAGGCAGGTGTTCCACACTTCGGGGTTAGATATTACTGGCCGACGGCGTTTGTTGAGTCATAAATGGCCATTCCAGTCTCCCTTGTCGTTGACGGTCATGCTGCTCTACCTATATCATGCTCCGTTGTGCGGATGTTGGTTTTGCTCGAGAGAGCGAGAGCCCTAAGGCACAACGAGACGAGAGAGTTCCGTAAAATCCATCGGTGAGTGCCCCTCTACCATTATATATATATATATATCCCTCCTAATTTGGAAATCGGCATGAACATTTTAACCGACTTTCCCTAAGAGGTGTTTTCAACAGCTGAATATTGCTATGAGTAAATGTGAAAAACATCGGACACTTATACGTCATTAAGTTTATAAGATCATCTCGACTGTTTCACAACTGCCTTTGCAGTTGCTTACAGCTTAGAATGAAACTTAACCTTTTATCCCGCCCCGGAGCTATTCTGGCCTGGTCCCTACTGCTAACCTGCAGGCAGTGAATTCAGTGGTACAACCAGCATACATTTTACCCTAGTACTCGAGTTCATATCACTTCTTCTATACGAGCGAAAGCCCATTTTATTTGCAAGAAACACCCGGGCTTCACATTGAATGGAATAACTGTAATCTAAGGTAGTGAAACTTTAAATTCTATCCAGACAGGCAACCAAGCATGTTTTCGAATACGATTGGGAAATGTTCCCTTCAAGCCAAAGACACCTTTTGCCCCATACCACTGTCCAACTACTTTGCTGTCTTTTTCTGTCTACTGTGTGGTGCAAGAGAGTAGAGAGTACTGGCAGGTTTTCCGTCTTTTTCGGAGGACAAGAGTAATATCAACAGGGGCCAAAGACATGACAACTGTTTATTGAGGTGGGATGCGTTTGGGGTAGCGTCAAACTCGGCATTTCGATCCGACAGGAGCGGTGGGGTAGAGCCCGTTACTTGGGGGTGAATCATCATCAGCTGGGACAGCGAGGGTAACGTCTACCAGCTTTCTCCGTATTTTTCCTCAAGCCGGTAAATTCTGTTGCGGACGGACATGGCGGCGCTAATGGTGACGGTTTGGTGCCAGTGGCGAAGGTGAAGGTGGTGGTGGTGGTGGTGGTGCTTTAGCGCAGCTGGCAACCGAACCTGCGTTTAAGGAACCGTTCCGGAACGATTGCAGACTGAGCGCGAAAAGGTACTCCGCGTGTCAAGTGTACGTTGGCAACAGTTGGTTTTTTGCACCGCCAAATTTGCCGAGACGCGTATAGGCGAGAAGTAAGGACAATTCCACCGGATAGCAGAGTCTGGTTCCATTGGTCGAAGGTGGTCTGTTTAATCATTTAGTTTGAACAAACGTTAAAGTGCACATGCAACGTAGATTCATAACTGGCTACTCCATCAGCGCTGGGCGAGGAAGTGCGGACGTTATATGAGTGCCGATCTGACAACGCATTTCCTTCCGACAGAAGCTGCAGAGTCGAACATCGAAGTTCTTCAAATATTTTGGCCGTCCATTAGACGCAAGCGCGTGTGCGCCATAGAGGCTATCTGTCTTTTGTTGAATTACGTTAAAGTGGAATAACTGTATGTAGTTTATTAGATATGCGAGTTCCAGCCTGCAAATTCAAATGAATTTCCGTGGTCAGGATTGGCAATCGACCAATCGTAATTAGTTCCAAAGATTTTTACTCATTAATTTGCATCGCACGTCACTTAGCTATGACAGACGCATTTTGCCGGAAAATAGGAGTAGGAAGCTAGTGAATCATTCTATGAAGATATATTTATGTGAACAATTAGATACCTCGAGAAATCCACTCAGAACTAGGTCAAGTTCTTTGGGAACGAGTCAATGCGTATCCTGCTGATTTGCTAAAATCTTTTCTCGAAGAACTTTAGATTTCCCAGTATGTGCATATATGTAAACGACGACATAGATAATTAAGTATACATGAAATTACGGAACGATTTTCTGCAATCGGAGACCAGCCCACACGCATGGCACGGAACTTTCCATTAATAGTGAGCGCTCTTCAGTCAAATGAGAACATATAAGGTGTACTGAAAGTAATACTGCATTGTCCAAATACAATAAGTTTATTTAAAAAGTGGAAATGTGGACACCATGACAGTTTGCATCAAATGAGTTGACTTAATTAAAGGAATTATATAATGGATGTACATATGATAGATCGATCAAGTAAGACTTAATATGCGAAACGGAGTTTAAATGAACCCCTTTGATGATAGTTCTCAGCATTAGGGCTGTAACAGGTTACTCAAGTGCCTCACACTTGATTATGTGCTTTAAAAGGGTTTTGAGACAACTTTATGCGGTGTGAGGCCAAGAAAAAAACGTTTACATAAGGTTACATATTCAGAGGTCCGTTGTTGACTCAGATATTGGAATATAATTTGCATGCGCAGTCTTAACCGCGCCGTATTTTTTGCTTTAAAAAACATTTTCCCTGTTTCTGGCAACAGTAGAGTCCCTTGAATCGCATGGCATCTTCAAAATATCAGAGCTTTTAAACGTGTGCCAGAAATGGTAGCTTCTGTTACCTATAGATATCAGAATATTCTAAGTAATACAGATGCTGAGGACTTTGGCTATGTTATTTTTATGCCCATGAAGGGTTGGGTCGTATTTGAAAATCAATTGGACACGAATTCTAAGTGCCAATGGAAAAAGATGTTCACAAAAAATTCTTCGATTGTTAGGTTGTTGAGTATTTTTTTAATGTGCTACCTCACAACGTGCCTTATTAGTATATTTTGACCATGTGAATCTTTTTTAAGACAAAGTCAAAGAAAACAGCAGGACATTTCTTCCGGTTCCAAAAAATGCTTGTCACTTTTCAAACGGGGATGGACATTCCCCTTTCCATTTATGTGGAAACAGTTTTCGTTCTTGTAAGCGGACTACAGAGTGGCCATGTATGTATCGAGGTAGACCTCAGCCAGTTAGGTCTGCCCTTGATCAATTTCCGAGTTTCAGATTAGCCGATACTAAGCCTCACAAAGACGCATTTGTCATATTCTTAGAAATTGAAATTGGGACTTGGGTGTAGGTCTTTTTGCTCTTACTCATTGAATTATTGCATATACACGGAAAGCACATGTGTGCTATGGCAGGAGGTTGCGCCCACATGTTTCTACTGTTTTTTGGGACATAAAATTCCATAGCAGTAAAATTTAGAATTTCTGAAGAAGAAATAACGTCTGCCTTTCTGCATACAGCGTGGGCCAGTGCATCTTTACCTATTTTACGCTGAATGAAAAATCCACTTTTATGTCGACAGTGGTAATTTCGGTAAATGTTTCTTGATCTGATTCATGTTCTTTATTAGATAAAAATACAGTTACTTATAGATGTGATCTAGGACAGTTACTAGCATCTATACTTGTCTAAGTGTGCACAACATCCATTTTGGCTCAAAAACTGAAAAGCAATTCGTCGTCAAAATAACCTACACACATTTCCTAAATGATTAAAAGGCACTTCCAGTATGCTTTCAGTCAATAAAAGAAGTGTGTATCGCTCGAGGTGTTACAGAACTGCTCATCCACATTTTGGGCATCGCGCTGAATGATTGTTTCCAAAATAAAGTCCTGTAATTTGTTGGAAAGACCCTTCTAGTTGCATTCCCTAAAGTGCGCAGAAATATAAGTTTTTACAAGGTCACTATTTATTGGCCTATCTTGGACTAACAGTCGCAAGGCCGTTAGCGGATTCAATCAGAAGGTAGTATTTTTTCGGCGTCTTAGCAGTATTCACATTTTAAAAAATGGTTGCTTTCTTACGAACGATGGAGTAGATTGGGCTTTAACCCTCGTCGAAATGTCAGCGAAGGTTTTGTGATTTTTCAATATCCTCAGTCGACTGTGTAAAAGGATGATTCCGGTGGTCTTCAGTCACCAATCCTTCTAAAAAGACATTTCTTGAAAAATATGTCTACACAGAATTTTAATTCGCTATGCTTCTGCAGAATACGGTTGAAGTGGTAGTAAGGGTCTCACGTATATGTAGAATATAATCACCACAGTAAACAGTTGTCCATAGCATAGATATGCGATGAAAACTATCCCACTTAAATGAAAAACGCTTATAAGATTTTCCCTGTATAAAGCGTTTTTCTAAGATGCTTTTCAGTTAAATGTTCAAATAACTCATCCCCTTTCGATACAAAGTCGATAGGCCATTGAAATATTTTGCTCGTATTCTTCGTTTCTGCTTTAAACGAAAAAACTCTTCCATCTTCAGCTCGGCAGCCTTTTCGTATTTTTGTCTGATCCTTCGCCGCCAAAATACTGAAAACAGTCTCAAACGGCTGATTTGGTGTCTTGTCTGTTCATAAATTACACAGTAGACAAGAGCAAGTTGCAAGCAAAGTGCACTGCATTATATTTTAATTTTTACATTGCCTTCTACGGGTGGCTCATTTGCGGTTGTCTGTGCCACATTTACGTATGGAAACTGCGGGCTTGGTTAAGCAAGTGGTTTCATTTCATATGTTTGCTGACTTTTGCGGGTTAGCAATATAAACACTAAAAATCAGTATTTATGAGAATAATGAAAATTCCCTTCTTGCTAAAGATGACATATTTACCTAAATCTCGCCTCATTTTATTTACTTTGACAGAAGAATGAAGCTTTTCTCTAGCGGAATTTGTTTCGTTGAATAATTGTCGTTCAAGTTGATATCTGCACTAGAGGAACGCAGGTAACTGAGTAGATATGTTATAGTACGGTTCGTAACATAAAGAAGTCAAACTATAAAGTAAGGCTAATTTCTGTTAAAACCACTGTGCATGTCATTAAAAACCGTCTCAGAAATTTATTACGTCTGGGAAGAAACACTTTTGCTTTAAACGCAAAGCTAAATGGCAAAAGCTTCAGTGAGCTACCGGGAACTGGTAATCCGGATCTCGATCATTATATCCCATCACTCTCATTGCTTAATCTATCACGCCACGGCAGTTCGACTGTTGAGAACGACAACCACCGTGTGATCCACAGCATTGTGGGATCACGACGGTGGTTTGTGCGTTAATTAATTTACAGCTGTAGCAGACTTTCGCGGCATCTACTGCACTCTCTTCTCCCTCGACCTCCTGGGCCAGGTGACTAGACAGAGGCACAACGACCGTAAGCGGACTCAAGCGCGGTGGTTAACAAAAGGGAACAACTCGGCTACGCGTACAATACACGCCTGGTCAGCATAGGATGGGCGTGGGTTGGAATTGGAATGCTATAGAGGCCACATTGAGAGGGAGCCACTAAAGCTGGGTTTCCTATCCTGGGAGTATCGCGTTAATTGGTTAGTTGGCAGTCACCGAAGCCACGCATTTTAGTGCGTAGTGATAGTTTCAAAGCGCGTTTCAAAGTGCTGTGGGAATGAAAGTCCCCAAGTGAACCTCATCCACTCAGTCTTCTCCCGTGCACTAGCCCGCTGTCTGAGCCGGTCAGCCATTTGATGCTGGGATTGAGTGCAATTAGCTGGCGTGGCGTGCACCCGCGTCTAGGCGTCGCATTTGTTAAGGGATGCGCGATCCTGTACAGCCTTACTAACGCGTACCGTGCCCCACTTCGGTTCCCGTGTTGTTCCAGCGCATCAGTCGCGTGGCCTGTTGTCCCAGAAACCAGAGGTTTGCAACTACTATTTATGCATAGATGGACGAGTCTGCTCAGTGGCCTGATCGGTGATCGACCCAACCACCATTTACAAACGTAACGTGTACGCATACAAATGATGGATATTCTGCGATAAACAAGGCTGGGTGACGAGGCACTAGTGGAGTTCGCTTCGATGAACGGTTTGTAATGCATTTGATGGACACTGACTGATTCATCTGTATTGTGCGCGTAGGCGTGTATGTGGTTCTGATCCCAGATGGTGGTCAGGGTATAAGGGGGTGAATGATGTCCGGATCGGACGGGGCCCCTGATGAGATCTAAAAGCACGGTGGCCCCCAACTGATGAAACACATGATGGCGCTCTTTCAGGAGATGTGGCATCAAGGAAAAGTTCCTCACGACTTCAAGGACGCCACAATCGTCCACCCATACAAGCGGAAACGGAACTGGGTGGGGCGAGGTGGGCTGGTGGAATAACTTCTGCGGTAATTTATAGCGGTTCATCTTGCAAGTTCATATCATCGAATCCTCGCGCCCACCCTCTCCGGTCTCATGTCCTCTGCCATGCTAACGGACGTCTACCGTTACGAACGCCCTGAGATCCTCATCGCCTACAGGACGGACGGCCAACTCCTCAACCACCGGCGGATGCTCTTACAGTCGCGTGTATCCACAACCACCGTCCACAAACTTCTCTTCGTCGACGACTGCGTCCTGAACACCACCTCTGAAGGGGACATGCAAAGGAGCATGAATCTCTTCGCCGCCGCCTGCGACGGCTGCGGCCTGATCATCAACACGGAGAAGACTGTGGTTATGCATCAAGCGCCACTCGACGATAACTACCTCGCACACCAAATCAACGCGAACGGCGCCCAATTGCAAGGCGTAAACGACATCACCTACTTTGGCACCACCTTTTCTCGCAACAGTAGAAACAGAGATGAAGTGGCCCGCTGAATTTCCAAGGCCAGTCAATCTTCGTTGTCTGCAAAGCACGGGCTGGAACCGACACGGTCTCCATGTCAACACCAAACTGAAGATGTACAGGACAGTTATCCTGCCGACGTTGCTGTATGGAGCGGAGACTTGAACGGTGTACAAGGAGCAGGCACGTAGATTAAATCATCCCCACCTCAGTTGCCTTCGACGGATACTGAAGCTAAGATGGCAGGGCCGGATCCCGAACGCGGATTTACTGGAGCAGACGAGAATCCTCAGCATTTATGACATGCTGAGACAGCTGCAACTGCGTTGGAGATGCCCCTTCGTGCGGATGAACGACGAGCGGTTGCCCAAACGACTCTTCTACGGAAATTTCGCTACGGGTTGCCGCTGACCAGGAAGTCAACTCCGGTGCTACAAGGATACCATGAAGACCGGCCTAAAGCGCCTACAAATCGACCCGACCAACTGGGAAAACCTCGCCCCGGACTGACCGATCTTGCGAACAGCAGTGAATACTGGCGCAGAGATCTACGAAGCCAACCGCATTACCGCCGCCAAGGCCAAACACGAAGCTCGTAAATTTTAACTGGACTCGCCGGCTACACTACACGATCACATCTTCGCTAACCTGCAACACAAAACATCATTCCCCAACACAAGCATCCAACTGTCACATCCCGCGCAAGCGGGAAGTGTGCGGCTCGACTCCGTCTCTATGCGGCCCATCTGCTGCGTGTGATTCGAGTCTGAAGCTATCACTTTCCGTCAAGCACCATGGCTTGGAAGGCTTCCGAAGGACGCCCAAAATCAGTCTACGCAGTCTGCCCAGTTGTGTATGTATGTGTGGGGTGGCAGACTGATGGGCTGAGAGCCAGGCTGAAACGGCTCCTTTTTTAAAATGACCTACGACACTCTCACGCACGTGAGATGTACGCCGCTCAACCCCCATTGCGTTAAATCTTGGTGCTTATGCTTAAGCGGCCAGATCGTCCATGTGGCACTCGTAGACAAGGTCACTAGATATGTCAGCCACAGCGACCATTCCCCGCACCTATCAACTGACCGGCTCGAACAGTGACTGGGGCCTGGGAATGGGAAGGGAGAGTGAGATCGACGACTCACCGCATTTTCCCCACTAAAATTAATCTGACGCGTCTGAAGCTATCACGGTGCGCGAAAGCCGTGACTTGGAAGGCTGCCAACTGACGGGATAGCTTGGACCTCTCAATCGACCCAGTGTTGTGTGTGTTGTGTGGAGTGGCCGACTGGTTGTCTAAGAGTCAGGCTGCAATGGCTCCTTCTTAATGTGACCTTTATGGCGGTCCCACTCCGTGGAATCCTAGCCAGGTGTGACGGCATTTCCAGGTGTGGTATCGGCCATACCAAACACACTATTTTTGTTGTGGGTTAAAATCCTGGTCATTTGCTTTGTGGACTAGAGGGTGTTGAGTGATGCGCCAAGGTGCGGGCTCGACTGTGCCATCCACCCGCGCCCTCTCTCACCTCCGTCCTCTTGACTATGTCTTGACACCGGGTCCGGGTGGGGGGAGGAGAAAGTGCCGTAGCTGCTGCGCAAGTTCACCTTTAGTGTGAGTTAAATCACCCGCAAGTCATCGTCCCTGCTCCACTTTGCGGCGCAGCACACGGCGGGCATAGTCGGAAACGACGGCTGAACTATTAGGTGACTGTTGACTGAATAAATTTGTGACAGCTCAATTTCAACCTACCCTTATCTCTGCCTTCACTCTTTCATACAGATGTGCATAATCCTTAGGAGAGATGTTTACGCACCAAACTGTTCCGCTTTGAAAAGATTGTAAAAAAAGCACTACCCAACTAAAAGAGAGGGAAAATTGGATTGACGAATATGGACCGGATAATGTATTTATTTTTATCGCCTTAAACAGTGTTAACGGTAGGGGAGCGACAGATCAGGCGACAGATCAGGAAATCACTAACTGCTCATGCTCAAGCGACAGATCAGGCGACAGATCATTAACTCATTAAATGCTCATGTGCGAACACAATATGCAACCAGAAGACATAATCTGACTTGGTTTCAAAATATTTACGCAATATCTCACCACTATCACTTTCATACCAAAAAAGTCTTTGCCAGGCTTGAAGTCACCATTTGCAAAACAATTTCAAAGCATGGTGAATAGGTAAGTCATTGCGCACCCGAAGATACTTTGGTGAAGCTTGGGCCTACAGACTCATGGAAGGGTTATTGAACCGTACATAATAAATTTAAATAATATGATTGCAAAGCGATCACAAAAGGGGTCTGGATCAGATAAGTTCAAATAAGAAATTTTTAAGCTTTTTGATCAAAACTGTCAGCGACAATGTGATAATTTGTCCAATTTCCCAAAGTAATTTGACTCACTGAAACGTGTCCTTTGTGAGGTGAGTCAGCCTCATTGTTCATATTAAACGGGCTGCTTTAATGTGATTGGTTGTGCGCCCAGACTGAGGATGACGTTACCCGATGAAGGACACATTCTGCATTATTTTTCCCAGACAGCTACTTTACCACCTGGATATTTGAGCGATCGTGATGGGGTAGGGTGGGGACGAGAGATTCTGTGTCACACGGAGTTCATTGTTTAATGTCGAATTCGTGCCATGTTTTTCTTATCATGGAGGGGTTAGGGGTGGGCGGCATGCCTTGTATGACCCAGTTGTGAGACGTCTCTATCACACTGGCATTCGAACGCATAACACAACTCGGTTTAACGACCATCTGCCTGTCGGACTTGTGAAGGATTGCTAGTGGAGTGTCGGGACGGATATATGACCTCCAGTTCCGTCGCAAATGAAAATTTTACTGGATATAAAACCGCTCCCTCTGAGTGGCTGTTCCTGCGACTTTGGTTGTTCCGACCAAAACCGAGGGGGCATTAAACCTATGCTAATAAATCCATCAAGTAACATATTTGCTGGCACTGAAACACGTTAGGAAGGATAATTCTAGGAGACGAAAGGCAAACGGTTGAACAAAATCAAAAGACGAAGCAACTGTTGATAAGGCACCCCGAGAAATGCGTACTTTTAGCTTATGTTAGAATTTCGAAGCTTTCTGCATTTTATTGTCTGATATCATCCTGATGACTACGAAGAAATACATTTGAAACAACTGTTTATCGTTGAGGCACAAAAGCTCAGGCCTGACAGACTGAAATGGCGCATCCATCTAGTGTTATGGCACGCGAATTCAACGCACAGTCTTGGCATAGGAAGAACTCTGAGAGCGGAGCAGCATTAGTGCATTGTCTCATCAGGCGTATGGTTCCCCTGGGATTAATTTTCTTGATGTTGACTCATCCAAGAAAACATGCTCTCAGCCAATGATCGTTCGAATTAAAGCATGGAAGATTCGGACAGTGTGCGATTTGATTTTGGATAATGGAATAGGTTTTCAAACGCAAAAGCATGTGGTCCATCAGGTCGCATAAGCTACCGTCTGTCTTGATCCAAGTACGTGTGTGAATTCACGTACACTCTTTGCGAAAGCATTAGACTATCAAAAGGCAGTGCGCTTGTCGTAGAAACTTACGACAGCATATTTCGTCGAATTGCTTTTCTACAGACGTTTAGGGGAGCGTATTCGTTGATAGTGGCTAAAAGGCGGAGTCTTGGACCTGGATGGCTTTGCCTACTACAGACCTTATCTTTGATGCGTTGGTGCAATCAAGTAAAAAAATTGACTGTCGGCAACGGCTCGTAAACATGTTCTGCAATTTTCCCAGCACGTTTTGGTAACGAACTTTTATCGACTGGGACAGGGAAGACAGAAGTGACCGTTTCTGGTTTTCATTCCGCTGTTGGCGAGATAAACCACAACTTCCGACTTGGATTGATTTTTCGCTGCTAGTTAATCGCCTGTACGTCTGTATTTGGCATAGAATTCAAGGTACGGTGAAGTCCGCCATGTTGTTTCCTTTAGCTAGAACTGAGTGGTGAACACCATCCCATGTGACACAGAATATCCCTGATTTTTGCATACAGAACGGGAGTCCGCGCTCCATGCGACCAGGGGTATTGACTTGCAATGGCAAACAACTCAGAAACTAACTTTTTAGATTCCACTGTCTTCACTTATAACAGATCTCGGATATCGGATGCTTGTCACGATGAAATCATATGTAAGGACGCAAAAGAGAACTCAGATGTAAAACAAAGCTGACTGTATGCCCTCCTGTGACTCTAACAAACCGGTGGATTTTACTCCTGTGTGAACGATGATATATATATGTTAATAGTCGGCAGTATTTGGAGGAAAATAGGGAAAATTAAGGGGAAATTTTGGGATTTTCGGCCATCACCAGCAAGCTATATCCAAGCCCAAGGTTCGGAATCGCTCTTACTCATTTTTAATCCCAAAGCACTAAGACAAACCATTTACCATTGGTTGGCTGGCTTGCGTCCTACTTACTGCAGTCGAGAATAACAAAGGTTACACCAATGTATCCTCATATTGTTTTCCTTTTCCTTCTGCTCGTCTTCTTCCTCATCGTCGTCACTCTCCGCACAAGGCTCGTGTGTGTTTCATATCGCTCAATTATTTCTAAATATTTTGTGGCGTCTAACTGCTCGTTTCATCTTTTCTTGCCCTTTTTGGTCCCCTTTTTTCTCGGCTTCTAGTTTTCGTCCTCCGCCACTTAATCTACATCGACCGTCACTAATATCGTCGTTAACTTCCTCAAGATAGGTACAACCGACCGAAACATTATTGTTTGCAGTTGTCAGAGCATAAACGCCAACACATGCAACACAACAGATGACACTTTCAAAAATTAATCACGAGACTTTTAAAAATGTGAAACTTTTGAATGTAACGCAACTGACGGGGTTCTAACAGGAAAATACGAACTCCTGGCCGTACCGAAATATGCTGTTAATGTTAACCCCTAAATACCAGCCAAATTGTCAATTTGATGCTCAAGCAGACTCTCTGAGGATGTCTCGATTTTGACTGTGCAGACAGGGCACGCATACCTAAGCGCCTG